TAACAGAACCACACTGCTAACAGAACCACAATGCTAACAGAGCCATGCCACTAACAAGACCATTCTGCTAACAGAACCACGCTGCTAAAAGAACCACAGTGCTAACAGAACCACACTGCTAACAGAACCACGCTGCTAACAGAACCACACTGCTAACAGAACCACGCTGCTAACAGAACCACACTGCTAACAGAACCACACTGCTAACAGAACCACAATGCTAACAGAACCACATTAACAGTAATGTTCTAGAACTTCTCCGCTCCAGGTGTCTGCATGTTGGAGCAGCTCTGTTACTTTCATTCTGAGATTTTGCTTTTGGAAACTTTAATTCCTCTTTTTCTGGATGTAAATCACATTTTCTGGATGATTGTTTCCTCTGGTATCAGATGCTGTGCAGCTGGAAGGATTTTTACTGGAACTTTTTTCAGTTTTGGACATTTGTTATGATGCGTAACCATGGCAACAAGGCAGTTTTCTACAACCAACAGCTGATTAACATCTCAAAAGCTCATAAATAATAATATCTCAACAATTAATACAATAATATCTCAATAATAGATAATGATGATATCTCTGTCACGGCCCTCCGCGACCCACCCACCCCGTTTAAACTGGGTGGGGCTGCGACATGAAACACTAAATACACGCACGTTCCACGCACAGACTCCAACACTTCACAATACATTTAAACCAAGATGGACTTTTAACAGTGTAAATTCCGCTAACAGAGGAGGACCTGAACTCACCAGCGGTCCCTGAAGTCACCAGACACACAGCGAGCCAGGCGGCCAGCTCCCAGAGTCCAGGAGGAGCCATTTTAACGGACAAACCCGAGCTGCTTCCGCCAACAACCCCCAGAACCGAGCCAGAACCGAGCCAACTGGAGCCCGAAGGCATGCTACCCGAGAGGAATAAAACGGTTCAGACCGGTTCTGGTTCCGAAAGTAAAAAAGTTGGGTGTGAACAAATCTCCGCCTCCACGTCGAGCAGGTTAAAATAATTTTTACACAAACTGACTTTAATGTTGGTTTCCGGCCATGAAAGCGCCAATTTTAAGGCAGCTAACATTAAGCTAAAAAACTATACAAACAAAAAAACCCACTAAAGTTTATGTTTTGTTTTCTTAAAAATAAAATAAAACTGCTCTTTACTGACTCCTACAGGCTACACACAGTACTGCAGCCTAGTTCATGACGTCATCAACAAGCGTCTTCATTTTGTTTATGTTTGAAAAATGTTCAGGTTCACTTTAAGGGAGGATAAAAAACTAATTCTCCATTTATTCATGTACAATTTCTGGTAATTTAGTTTTTGGAAATAAAATTCAAATAATGTAAAATGTAATAGTCTTATTTTTTTTTATCTTTACTCAGTTAAGCACAGACTGGAGAGTTTGGTCTTACGCCATCCATCCATCCATCCATACATACATATAGATATGTATATATATAAATATATATATATATATATAGATAGATAGGTAGATAGATAGTGTGTGTGTTGTTTGAAATGACAGAAATGTTTATTTTTCACAGGTACCAACATAGAATGAAACACACAGACGTTTTATTTTGAACAAATGTTTTTCAAAATAAAGTACAGCGGCGCGGCTGTGACTCTGACGGCGACTCAGAGCAAAAGCAACGGCAGAAGTTCAAAGCCAGCCGGTTCTCACTGACGAGAACAAAACGCTCCAGGAATGAAATGTTGCTGGACCTCGTAGGTTCTTCAAGTCCTGTTTGGATCTACGTCTCTGACCCAAGAAGAAACCAGAACATCTTGACCACTTTCCATCACTGCCCTGGTACATCCAGAGGCTCCAGCTGCAGCCACAGCCCCCCCTCGGCCCTCAGCACCAGCTGGGGGAGACGCCGCACCCCCTCAGAGCTGCTCCCTGATTCTGGGTCGGCTCCCGGGCTCAGGCGAAACCTGAGCAGGGTCAAGGCCACGACCACCCTCAGCTCGGCCATGGCGAACTTCTGTCCGACGCAGTTCCTGCAGGCAGACGTGGGTTCATTCCTTCAAGAACTGAATCGGCTGTTTGGTTCAGAGACACAAGAGTACCTGGGGCCCGACGAGAAGGGGATGAAGGAGTGAGACGAGCGGCCCCCGGCGTTGGCGGCATCAAAACGCAGAGGATCAAAGTCCTGCCGGGAGAACAGACGTCAGCTTCCACGTGAAACCAAGCACAGGCTGGGTCAAAGGTCAGGCTCCTACATGTGGGTTTGTCCAGACGGCAGGATTGTGGTGCGTTCCGTAAAGACTGACCAAACAGATGACACCTGGGTGGGACGAGAACTGGATCAGAACCAGAGCAGACATGACACCTGGGTGGGACGAGAACTGGATCAGAACCAGAGCAGACATGACATCTGGGTGGGACGAGAACTGGATCAGAACCAGAGCCGTGTGCACAGTAAAACCTCAATAACCTGAAACTTTTAGCAGAAATGAGCGACACGACGCCGGCGCCGGTCCAGATCAACCCGGTGTGTGAACAATGAAGCGTTCACGCTGATCCGGTTTCCTTCTGTACGTTTTATTGTGCGTTTCATGTCCCGCAGTTTTCAGCTGTTTCAACAAATCATGAATCACAACGTTCGGCTCTTTCAGCACAACCCTGCTGTGACTTTAGGTATTGGTGCAACTTTAGCTGTTTGAAATATTTAGCCTTTTCTGACATTTTGTTCTCATAGAAACTGAACTGAGCTCATGTTCCATCCTTCACATCTTTAGATCTGTTACAACTTTTTACTGCTCCTTTCACATTTTGTTCTGCTTCAGCGTCTTTCAGCTATTTAAGCTTTTTTCAGCTACTTTCAGCTGTTTATCAGCTGTTTTGTGCTTCTTTCTGCTAACTACAACATTTGTGTGCGTCTTCTAACTTCTTTCTGCTAATTCCAGCTTGTTATGCTCCTTTCAGGCAAATTTCAGCCTTTTTTGCTATTTCAGCTACTATATAGCTGTTTTTATGTTAATTTCAGCTTTTTCAGCTGGTGCCACATGTTTTGCACTCATTTCAACATTTTTCAACCTAATTCAGCAAAAGTGTGCTCTCTCCACTCCCTTCTGTTAATTTAAGCTTCTTTCTGCCTTTTTAGCTACTTGAGCTGGTTTTTTAGCTGATTTCAGCTTTTTTCATTTAATTTCCATTTTCTTGTGCTCATTTCTGCTTCTTTCAGCAAATGTGTTCTTTCAGCTTTCTTCTACTAATTTAAACTTGTTCTATATTTTCAGCTACTTTAGCTTTTTTTAAAAGCTAATTTCAGCTGTTTTCAGATAAATTCAAGTTTTTCGTGGTAATTTTTGCTACTTTCAATCTACCAGTAATTATCTTCTTACTGCTTAAAGATTATGCTAATTTTAGCTTTTTTTCTGCTAGTTTCAGCTTTTTCAGCTACTACTTAGTCCGTTTGATGCTAATTTTAGCTTTCGGCAAATATGTGTTCTTTCTGTTTTCTTCTACTAATTTAGGCTTGTTCTTCTATTTTAGCCACATTTCAGCATGTTTTTAGCTAATTCAGCTAATTTCCACTTTTTGTGCTCATTTCTGCTTTTTTCAGCAAACGTGTTCTTTCAGCTTTCTTCTACTAATTTAAGCTTGTTCTATATTTTCAGCTGCTTTATTTTAGCATTTTTTAAGCTTATTTCAGCTGTTTTAAGATAAGTTTAAAGTTTTTGCTACTTTCAGTTTAATTAGCTTATTTCTTCTAATTCCAGCTTGTTTTGCGCCTTTCAGGCAAGTTTCTGCTATTTCAGCTACTGATTAGCTGTTTTTATGATAATTTTAGCTTGTTCAGCTAACTCCAGTTTTTTTCCCTCATTTCAGCTCCTTCCACTTCCTTTTGGTAGTTAAGCTTCTTTTAGCCTTTTAGCTGATTTCCCCCTTTTTTCGTGCTATTTTCTGCTTATTTAAACCTAATTTGCCAAATGTGTGTTCTTTCTGCTAATTTAGGCTTATTCTTCCATTTCAGCACGTTTTTAGCTAATTGTAGCTGTTTTTCAGCAGGTTCTGCTCAGTAAGCATTCGTGCATGTTGTGTGAAAGCTCAGAGGGAACCGGTCCGCGCACCTTTTGGTACCGAGAGCCCCCCAGGCAGCGCCATGTCCTGAGTGTACGTCCTGGTGACCGCCTGGACCGGTGAGTGCAGCCGGAGGCTCTCTCTGATGCACATGGTGGTGAAGCGGAGGTTGGACAGGTCCTCCCTTTGAAGACAAGTTAAACGTCGGATCACCGTGCGTGTGCGTGCGTGTGCATGTGTGTGTGCATGTGTGAGTCCTGACCACTCCAGGGCCCACCCGCCTCGTCCCTGCATCAGCTCCATCACTTCCTGTCTGCAGGTCTCCTGATGCTGCGGGTGTCGAGCTAAGTTGTAGAGCGTCCAGCTGACGGCGCTGGCTGTCGTGTCGTGACCTGCAACGAATCAAACTCCTTCAAACTTTAGCTCCTAAACACGAAACAGCTAAGATGTAAAAATGTAAATAGTTTTTCTTCTTTCAGCTGCTCCTTCTTCAGGGGTCGTCACAGAGAACTAACTCGCACCAAGTCTTGGTGATTGTTTTTACTCCGGATGTTCTTCCTGACCAACCACAGACCTCGAGCCACCACAGCCTCTGAGTGGAGCAGACAGCTGCAGGTGGTGGGGGTTAAGGGCCTTGCTCAAGGGCACAGACTGGGGCAAATGAGGGTGGAGGCAGGCTTCACCTTTCACCCACATTTTCATGTTGTTGGTCCGGGGAGTCGAACCGGCGACCTTCCAATCACAAGCCCACCTTCTCTAACCTCTGCGCCACCGCTCCCCTGCAAAGATCTAAACATGTGACCCAAAATGAGACCATCAAGACTCAATCGAATAATCCCTCAGGAAATCCCTTCATGTAATGTTTGGTGTCATTGTGAAGCTCAAGGATTTTCCTTTTTAAATACAGGGATGGACCCCCCCCCCCCCCCCCCGGAGAAGAATTTTAAAATAAGAACGGAGTTTTTGAAAACTCTTCTTTGTGACACTCGTCAGCACAAGTTACTTTTATTAGAAACAGATTTTCAAAATATCGCCAAGTACGACTCTGTTGGCTGTTTTATTTTGAAGGTACTTGCTTACCGAGATACTTCTTCTCGGCTTCACACACTTTTGTGTCGAAGCGTTTGGGTTCAGTCATCTCTTGTCAAAACCACAAGACTTTTGAGTAATAACTGTCTTACCTGTGAGTGGTGGCAGATGAAACTTATGACAGTCAATATCTTACCTGCAAACATGAAGGTGTTGGCCTCGGCCTGGATTTCCTCGTCTGTTAGACTTTGCTCATCATCATCCTGCAACACGCACTTTATATAATTACAAAATACATTTACAGTAAACGAGACAAAATGCATTTCCTGTGTGAATTCTTATCGCAGAAGAGCTTGATGAAAAACAGCCGAAATTAAATAAAAAAACATGCTGAAATGTAGCTGAAATAGAAGAACAAGCCTAAATTTGCAGAAGAAAGCAGAAAGAACATATATTTGTTGAATTGGGTTTAAATAAGCTGAAATTAGCAAATAACAGCCGAAAATGCATAAAGAAGCTTAAACTAAGAAATGGATATGGAAAGAGCTCAAATTAGCTAAACAGTGTGGAATTAGGCTGAAAAGGCTAAAATTAGATAAAAAATGCTAAATAGTAGCTGAAATAGCAGAAAAGGCTGAAAGGAGCATAAAGAAGGTAATTAGTCTGAAAGTAGCAGAAATTCCCAAGAAAAACTTGAATCGATCTGAAAACAGCTGAAAGGAGTTAAAAATGTAGCTGAAAAGGTAGAACAGGCTTAAATTAACAGAAGATAGCAGAAATAACACATTTATGCCAAATAAAGCCGAAAGAAACAAAAATTAGCACAAAAAGTGGAAATTATCTGGAAAAAGCTGAAATTAGCAAAAAACAGCTGAAGAGTAGCTAAAAAACATAAAGAAGCCTAAATTGCCAGGCGGAACTGGAGAGAGCACATTTTTGCTGAATTAGACTGAAAAAAGTTGAAATGAGTGCAAGAAATGTAGAATTAGCTGAAAAAGCTAAAATTAGCATAAAACAGCTAAATAGTAGCTGAAATAGTAGAAAAAGCTGAAACTTGCATAAAAAGGTTGAAAGGAGCATAACAAGCTGAAATTAGCAGAAATAAGTTAGAAGAAACAAAAATTTAGTAGTTAGCATAAAAAAGCTGAAAGGAGCAGAATCAGCTGAAAAAACAGCTAAAATAAGCTGAAATGAGCAAAAAAAAAAATAGCTGAAAAGGTATAAAAAAAGCTTAAAATCTACCAGAAGGATGCGGAAAGAGCTCAAATTAGCGAAAAAAAAAAAAAGTGGAGTTAGGCTGAAAAGGCTAAAATTAGCATAAAACAGCTATATAGTAGCTGAAATAGCAGAAAATGCTGAAACTATCAGAACAAAGCTGAAAAGAGCATAACAAACTAAAATTACCATGAAGAAGTTAATTAGTCTGAAAGTAGCAGAAATTACACAAAAAACCTCCAACTTTAATTGATCTGAAAACAGCTGAAAGTTGTTAAAAAAAAGGCTAAAAATGTAGCTGAAAAGGTAGAACAGGCTTAAATTAACAAAAAATAGCAGAAAAAACACATTTATGCCAAATAAAGCCGAAAGAAACAAAAATGAGCACAAAAAGTGGAAATTATCTGGAAAAAGCTGAAATTAGCAAAAAGCATCTGAAGAGTAGCTGAAATAGTAGAAAAGCTGAAACTTGCATACATAAGCTGAAAGGAGCATAACAAGCTGAAATTAGCAGAAAGTAGTTAGAAGAATAAAAATGTAGTTAGCAGAAAGAAGCTGAAAGGAACCCAAAACAGCTGAAGAAGCAGCTGAAAGAAGCTGAAGCAGAACAAAATGTGAAAGAAGTAAAAGGTTGTAAACACATGTAAAGATCCGAAGGAGGTAAAATGAGCTCAGTTCATTTTCTACGAGAACAAAATGTCTGAAAATATTTCAAACAGCTAAAGTTGCACCAATACCAAAAATCATAAACAGCAGAACCAGAAACTTTAGCTTTTTCTAACGGTCTTTTGCTCCTGATACGTTGAATTTGCCAGCCTTTGGTTCGGTCCGGCTCTACCTTGGACAGCAGGATGATGTCGACGAAGTCCTTCTTCTTCTGCGGCGCTGTCGTCAGGTCCGTTCGTGCTTCTGTCTCCTGCTGCTGGCCGATGAGCGCTCGGTGCTTCTGAACCACTTCCCGGGTGAATCTGCAGATTCGGTCAAGTCACAAAACACCAGCTGAACCCGACACAGTCTTTGGGCTTAAACTCAGAATCTGAGCGGTGAAGTTTCTCCAGATTATCGTAGAATATCAGAGGCGGCGCAGTTTCATGTTTAAAACCACGTCACAGTGTTTAGACACACGAGCGTAAAATAAAACATTAGAAAACCAAAGTGCTGAAAAAGAAAAACAGCTGGTTTGACCCGTGTACCCGTGGACGACGCTCAGGGCCCGTTTGAAGCGTTTCCCCTGCGCAGTCTTCCAGTACATCCAGTCCCAGTGGTGCAAAATCCTGAAGCGGCGGTCGATCACCAGGTCACCGAGCTCCACGATGGCCGCCACGTACTCATTGGCAGATCTGCAGGGAAGAGTTTCTTTAGAACAACACGACCTCGAGTCAGGAGCCGAACGTTTCGGTGGAGTTCTCACTCCTGACAGTTGCTGTTGTAGCTGAAGGCGCATTTCAGTAAACTGTCCAGAGTCATCAGAGAGACGTGGTCGAACATCTCGATGTTGGTCGTTCCTTCAGCCACCAGGCGGGACCACTTCCTCTGAAAACAGGATTAAGGGACACAGATTACGTCGAGCGAGCCTCCTCTTTAGTTAATTTCACAACTGCTTTGCAAACAAGCTGCTCCGCTGAAAAAGAAAGTAATCAATTGGAGGAGATTAGCTCCTTGGTTCAATTCTGAGTTACATACTTTAAAACAGACATCTAGAAAACTAGAAAGAAAATGGTGCTTCACTAACGTTGAGGAATTTTACTTATCTTGGAAAGATAGTCTGCTAACATACAACAAAGCTCTCCGTAAAGCTAGAACTTTATATTACTCATCTTTAATTGATGAGAATAAAAATAACCCCAGGTTCCTTTTCAGTACCATTGCTAGTCTAATGAAAAATCCTCTCTCTGTTGATTCATGTATCTCTACAACTATAAGCAGTGATGACGTCATGAGATTATTTATAAATAAAATTGTTTCATTTAGGGAGAAAACTCGAACCAACATTCCTACTATCACCTCTGGTTCTGTGTCAGATGAGACAACTTTAAAAATTTCACTAGAGCCTGATTTATGTTTGGACAGTTTTTGTCCTGTTGAGCTCTGAATTGTCCAAAATAATAATCTCATCCAAACCATCCACATGCCTGCTAGATCCCATCCCAACCAGACTGTTTAAAGAGGTATTTCCACTAATTAATAAGTCTTGGATATCATTAATTTGTCTCTAATAAATGGTTATGTACCACAACGCTTTAAGGTTGCTGTAATTAAACCTTTACTTAAGAAGTCTGACCTTGATTCAGAAATTCTGGCCAACTATAGATCTATATCTAATCTAACTTTCATCTCAAAAATTCTAGAGGAAATAGTTGCAGGTCAGTTGTGTGAACATCTACAAAGAAATAATCTGTTTGAAGAGTTTCAGTCAGGGTTTAGAGCTCATCATAGCACAGAAACAGCACTAGTAAAAGTCACTAATGATATTCTCATGGCCTCAGACAATGGACTTGTGTCTCTACTGGTCCTGTTAGACCTCAGTGCTGCATTTGATACAGTTGATCACAATATTTTACTACAGAGGCTTGAATATGATGTTGGGATTACAGGAACAGCTCTAAAAGGGTTTAAATCATATCTATCTGATAGATTCCAGTTTGTAAATGTAAATAATAAATCTTCTTCATACACCAAAGTTAGTCATGGAGTTCCTCAGGGCTCAGTGCTTGGATCAATACTCTTTACTTTATATATGCTTCCATTAGGTAAAGTTATTAAACAGCATAGGATAAATGTTCATTGTTATGCTGATGACACACAGTTATATTTGTCCATTAAACTCAATGAATCCAATCAGCTACTTAGACTACAAGCATGTCTTAAAGACATAAAAACCTGGATGACCCTTAATTTTCTCCTGTTGAACAGACCAGACTGAGGTTTTGGTTTTTGGACCTGAGCACCTTAGGAATGAATGTTTCAGTCTTTCTCCCTCCTTAGATGCATTAATCTGTCCTCCAGCTCTAATGTTAAAAATCTTGGTGTTATTTTTGATCAGGACATGTCTTTTATCCCCCACATTAAAAACGTTCCTAGAACCTCCTTCTTCCACCTGCGTAATATCACTAACATTAGAAACATCTGATCTAAAGATGATGCAGGAAAACTGGTCCATGCATTTGTCACGTCTAGACTGGACTATTGCAATGGTTTATTATCTGGGTGTCCAAATACTTCTTTAAAACGTCTTCAGTTGATCCAACATGCTGCTGCCAGAGTCTTAACTGGAGTTACTGGGAGAGATCATCTCTCTCCAGTTTTAGCTTCTCTCCATTGGCTCCCTGTCAAATCCAGAATAGAATTCAAAATCTTACTTCTAACCTACAAAGCTCTCAACAACCTAGCTCCATCTTATGTTACAAATCTTATTGTTCCATATTTTCCTAACAGAGCACTTCACTCTCAGACTGCAGGTTTACTTGTGGTTCCTAGAGTTTCTAAAAGTAGAATGGGAGTAAGATCTTTCAGTTCTCAGGCTCCTCCTCTACTCTTCCGGTTTGTAATTATTTCAATCTTAACATGTTTTTTTGTCTTTCCTCCTATAGAAAGTTCAGCTGGAACGGCCATTTTGTGTCTGTTTCTACTTCCTGTCCTCTCAAACCAGCCGGTCGAAGCAGATGTCCGCTCGTCCTTCTGCTGGAGGTTTCTTCCTGTTAAAGGGAGTCTTTCCTTTCCACTGTCTCCTTTGTGCTTGCACGTTTTTGCTCGGTGCTCCGAGACGACTTCTGCTGAGACTTGGAGCTACAGGAACAAACTGAAGTGAAGTGTTAAAGCCTCACGTGCATGGTGTTGGTGGAGGAGTTGAACGTCGTCACGTAGTTCTTCAGAACGTCAAAATGAAAAGCCGGGGTCAGCAGCCGTCTCCGGCGGGACCACTCGTCCCCGTTGCTTAACAGCAGACTTTGTCCTGACGCGTCGTGAAGAAAACACCGTCATTTTGAACCGTCGCCGCGTTCACGTGTTTGTTCGCGCTTCACTCACCCAGCCACGGACGCAGGTGGCCGTAGATCAGCTCGTCCTTCACAGTGACGCTTCCTAGTAGAAGCAAGGCGGTGTCCGTGTGTGGGAAGGAAAAAAGACCAGTTGTTACCGTTCAGAACAGAGTTTTATTAGTGCACGTGTTGTCCTACCAGATGCCGTCAGCAGAGGTTTGACGTAATCAGGGTGGAAGACTCTGACCAGGTGATAGAAAGGCCCGAGGAACCAGCAGCAGGAGTGTTTGTAGGTCTGCACCAAGTCGTCCACCTGCTGGAGACCTTCCTCTGTGCTCTGCATCTGAGGGAACAGCAGGTTTGTTGTGTAGCTGCAGGTAAACTGCGTCACCGTGTGCCGGTTAGGCCCAGACAGTACCTGACCCAGGTGTCCCAACAGCCACGAGCGGGTTCGGGGCTTGCTGAAGCAGGACAACCTGTGCGAGTACCAGACGTGACGCGCCAGCAGCCTCACGGTCCACGCTGCAGCGGCGGCCACCAGGCCCGTCCCGAGCCCCTGCAGAACCAGGCGGAGGCCCGTCCAACTGAAGGCCTGCCAGAGGACACTGTGGAGGAGAGCCATCCTGAGGGACGGAGACACGAACGTCCAGAAGTCCACTTCTGTTCACATGGGACAGTGAGATGTTGTTGGTGTTGAAATGTGAAGAAACTCAACCGTTGCAGTTATTTCAACACTCGCAACGGCTGGAGCTTTACGACACCTCTTCCTTTGACAGCGCTCAACCACTTCCACTTTTTTACTTCATATAGTGTTTTTTTTATTGTTAAAGACTCAACGAAGAGAAAAAACTGACATCAACAACAACAAAATGAATAAAAATTAAAAAACCTGATTGTGAGACGGAGAAGAGTTCAAGAGAAAAGCATACATCATAATTTATCAACGTCACATTAACATCTGTTAAAATACAGGATTAACTTCAATATAGTTAATAACCTAAAAGTTATTTTTATTTTTGTTCATAAACGGTGTTATTTTATGTATAGTTGAAGTTTTCAGGTTCAAAAGACACATAAAATAAAGATCTGAAACGATTCAAGTAAAAAAAAAAAAATCTGAATGAATATAAAGTCAGAGTGAAGAGATTTTAGAGCTAATGTGTACATCCTCATAAATGGACAAAAATTATAAATAAATAAATAAAAATCCTTATAGAGAACGAACTGAGTTATCGCGTTTTTCCGGCGGGTCGTTGAGAAGTTTCTAGTTTACGAGCCGCTCCTGAAGGCCGCACTGATTGTTGCACCTGTGAAGGCGGAAGTCGCGCCTGACGTCACTGAAATCTTTTTCTAATTTAACTTATTTTTTAGTTGTTTATCCTGATAGAAACGGCTGAAAACACACAGTGGACAGTTTCAAGCAAAATGTTTACTGCTATGAGATTCTGGTAAGTTTTATTTATTTGTTTGTTTTAATTTAATGTCGAGTAATTGTTATTTAGCTGCTGTGTTTGGCTTTAATTAGCCTGTTAGCATTAGCTTCGTTAATTGGTTCTTAATTTAATTTGATATTTTAATAATTCAGACGTGTGTTTTAATGAAATTGTGACAGTTGGTCCAGTAAAACAGTAATAATTACTATATGAAAATAATTTTCTTCTTATGTTTGAAGCTCAACACCATAAATATATTAATTTATGCTTTAGCCGTTTTTTAATTTATTTATAAAATTCTAACTTTTTAAACAATTAGAGCACTTTTAAAAAACATATTGTTTTATTTGTTTGCCTCTTGACATTAGTGCTGCAATAATAACCATAAAATGTATTTATTTAGAACTTAAACATGTTTTTATGCGTCTTCCTCTACTCCCAGTTTAATGGAATTAACCATTTTATTTATATTTTTTGTCTTAGTCGCTTCATTTTAAACTTTTTGCGTTTCTTTAACTTGTTTCACAGTTTGCTGCCCAATCCTGCAGATGCACGTGTTTGAATATATTCTTTAAAATGTCCATGATTTAAAGAATTGCTTCAGGCAGAAACACTCAAAGTATTTAAATTTAAAATAAAAGAGTTTATTTCAGATGAATCTGGTCCAAACTTCATCTGTTTGTTTCTTACGTTTTAATTTCTTTTACTTCGAAATTCACACGTTCACTAGAAGCTCCTCGAAAGAGTTCAAGAAGCTGCTCCGACACAACCAAGCTTTACATTTATATATTCATATACATATATATTTATATATATTTATATATTTGTATACATATAAAACACCAAAGTTTAGATTAAAACTCGTTTTCTTGTGTGCAGCTAGAAGGACGGGTCAAACCAGTTCAGTCGAGGAAGACGTCGGTGTTGGAGAAACTAAAACCAGTTTCTCCCGTTGAGCCGATCAAACGATCAGATTCATTGATCCAAAACTTTTTCACTCGATGGGTTTAACACATGTAGAACAGAGTTTATACATCCATCCATCCATCCATCCATCCTTCCATCCATCCATCCTTCCATTCATCCATCCTTCCATTCATCCATCCATCCATCCATCCATCCGAGATTGATTGAGCCATCCATCCATCCATCCATCCATCCATCC